TTATCCACGTCTTCACTTTTCTCTGTGTAGATATATTGACCGAGGTGAAAGTCGTGCGAAATTGTGAATTCCCGAACTACTGGCGTGACCAATTTATAAAAAAGTTTGCCAACTGGGAGAAAGAAAGTGTACTAATTATCATCGGATACGTTTATGCCTTGTCGTTGATCCAATTCTCATTTCCTCGGGTGAAATAAAAAAAACTCGAGAAAAAACATTGTGGAGGTTTTTTGTTGGACAACAGCTTCGAATATATATATCTACTCGCAGTAATGATTAAAATAACTGTAAGTGCATTAGACGGGCGTGACATTATTATGGTCCAAGTTGACTCTGGTGTTATAAATGCGTTCCCATTATCAATTAAATGTGCAGAAGGAATTGCATCATGTAGATAAGTACAGTTTTGGAATGGATGGTGGTGGTGGGATAACAATAGAATCATTCAAGTCTGGCATGGTGGGGATGAATGTTTAGAAAATATTGAAAGCGAACGTGCTAAATCCGAGGTTGGTGAGATAGGAGGCAACAAGATGTAGTCATAATTGGACAACGAGAGATCCAGTCCTGATACAACCACCACGGAAAACAGCACTACTGAAGACTCTGTATTAGTTGGCATTAGACTTGCATCCACCCAGTGAGCCATTGGTTTAAATGAAGTCCCTGGCAATGAATTGTACTTATGTCTCTTCCGAATTTAATCCCTCTTTTGTCACTTCTTCAACTATTTCAACTAGCCAGCAACCAGAGAGGAGTTGAATCATCCACTGTACTTAAAGTTCCCAGAGCTCAACTCAACGATCTCTCTCTCTCCTTGATCCCTGCTGCATTTAATTCTCAAACTAATTGTGCAATGGGCCAGAGTGGATTGTGTGTGACCAGAACATCTGCATCTCTTTTCTCTGACCACTCCGTTCTGATGCACCACCATGTCTACCTTCACTTTATTTCACCCATCTGTCATGGAGCCCACTACATGCGTCCCACTCTGCAAATATTTGAGAATGGATCGAATGTCAAATTGAACTTCACCTACTTTTCTCTTCCTGCATTTTAGAGCGATTTTGGTAAAAATGTCGAAATCAATTAGTGGAATGAGTGAGGTTTCATGAAATGTCAGGAGGAGGACACGTAGCAGAAAGGAAAAAGTGGGTACGGACAGAGTGGTGGGCGACTGATGGGTGTGACACAACCCTATTTTCTCATCTCAACTCGTACAGCACGTTTATCTTGGAGGATTCGTCCCTCCGTGATCCTCGCCCTTTTCTCTTTCTCTCTCTCTGATTGACAGGGCTGGATGAGTTAATCCTGGATAATGTGCCTTGGGCAATGATGGGTGTACAAGAACATTAGATAAGATTTCGTATCAAAGTGGAAAAGTAGCAACATTTCCCCTCGCGTGTCTAATTGTATCCTTGTTGGAAGACGTTATCCAAATTTCCATCAGCAAACTGCGGCTTTCTATCCGTCCCTACCACCACTCGACTCAGCACAATTGCACAGATATGTTTGGAAGATTGTCGAAATTGCCAGATGGTCATTTGAATAAGAAGTTGAAGATATGAAAAGCTAGATATGTACATATTTGTGCCGCGGCTTTAATGCAATGCACATTCGCTCCTCTTCTTCTTCTTCTTCCTATTACGCGAGATGATGATGCCCTCGCGTAAATAAACAAGTCTGCGAAGCTGCTACATGCTACAAGCTAAGAGATAAGATCAATTTGGAATCTAGCGATTGCATCGTTTTTGAGTGGGATTGGTGATGGTGGTCGTGGTCGTGGCGTTTAGCTGGCTTTTATGGTCTTATAAATTCTTAACGTGTCCACAAAATTAATTTTTTCATTATTCAAACTTTGCGTGAAATGGATATGTACATTTGTACGTATGTACGAGTCAAGGTCCCTTTATTTTTATTTAATGCGAGTACGCCGTACAATCTGTCACTTGTTATTTGTGATGGTCATCACGAGGATTTGAGGAAGGAGGAGGAGGAGGAGCAGGGAGGATCGGAGCCAGCCAGCCAGCATGACATGGTCTCATCTTTTTCATGAAGATCGTGGCACAGAAATAATTGAAGTCAGAGTCGACTGCTCCTTCTCGTTTGCTACAATAATGGATGCATGGGCCTTTGTTTTCCATAATATCCAATCCACAGGAATTTTTGTATGTTTTGTGCTACGAGGGTTGTTCGCAGCCCAGAGACATAGCAGATCTCCTTCGTCTTCTTCCCATTACAACGTGGTGTACATCAACAAGCCACAGATAATAATCATAATGATAGTAATAAGACAAGACGTTTCGCTGCTTGGATAGAGAGCCACCCGTAACTTTTTTCTAAAATCAGGCCGGCCCTTCAATCCACTGGCCTGTCCAACTCCAAAACTTCTCCACGGCTGAATGACGTTCTCGTCCAAGGTGGTGCTGGCAAGTCGACTCTGGTAATTTTTCTCTCGAGAGGTTTTATTCATTCTTCTCTCTCTCTCTATTCCTGATCGTGATTCAGCTACTGATAGTTGTGTGTGATGCGATCGGGAGGAGGACAAAAAAAGCAAGCTCATTATTATTATTATTATTATTACTCGATTTTAAGCGAGCAGCTCTGGCTTCACAACGCTACTAAATAAACCACTTGATTTCGTTTCGTTCCTTTGTGGGGGACAACAATGCCCAGATTTTTCGTGGTTGCGGTCGTCGTTCGTCGTGGTGGAAAAGAAAAGTAGGCGAGATTATGTACAAAAGAATTGGACGCACGGATCTCTACCTGCCTGGTCATGAACATTTGAGGACGACGTGACCAGAGAACCCACACGATACGATTTGGGTGGTGGTGGTTGTCTCGTTCTCTTCTCGCGTAAACAAATTTGTGCAGATTGCATGCTCTTTCTCTCCTTCTGCACCTGAACACGACTGACGGACGAGGACTAAAAAGTCGCCCTAGTATACGACACATAAATACACGCAACAGAGTTCCAGGATGGAAGGAAGTTGGCGACGTGGGCGCGACGCCACGATACTACGACCAACCGAACCCGGTCTGGTCTCACTTCCTGCACATTCAAAATTTATTACATTGAAGGTCTTAAGTTTATGCCTTTTTGGACTTCACTTTCCACTCACTAAACTTGTTTTATACTTTCCTCCACCAAAGCAGCAGCAGCAGCAGCAGCAGCCAGCTTTCTTTCTGCCTAAGGAGAGGAGAGCAGTGTAATCGCAACGCAGTAATGCAGACGAATGGTTAGAGAGAGAGAGAGAGAATTCAGTAATCTCTCCGCTAAGGATAAGTTCCTTCCTTCTTCGACATTAAGAAACTGTTGGTCGGAAAGTTGGTTGCTTGGTTGGTTTGGTTCCCTCCCGTTCCTCGCTCTCTCCTTGATATCGGTGTAATAAAGCTCCACGTCAAATCTCCTCGGACTCTTTTAATTTCCTTGTAGTAAAAACGCATTTCTTACTCACAATGGTCCTGGACTCGACGGACGCTCGTTGTTATTCCTTATTTCTGGGCATACACGCCGCGATTAAAAAACAACTGGAAGAATCCGAATAAGCTTTTGGTCCAAATTGGATTGTAAACCTGGGTGGATTACTGAAACAAATGCTTCCACCACCTCCACCAGGTAGGAGGAAGTACTAAGCCCGGCACCACTGCGTACACACACCTCCACGGACCCAGGAATTTTTTAATTTGAGAACACACAAATAATTTTGGCTGTATGAAATGTCCCAAGGGATTTGGCTCCGATCTAATTTTCCTGTAATGAAGATGGAAAAGACGGGGAGAGGAAAGGTGTCGGCTCGTGTTAGGCGAACAAATCCAGACAAGTATTTGCAAGCCAAGCAACTCGTTCTTTTGCCACCATGGGAGAAAAACCACGGGAGAAAGGAGTTGAATGGGTGGAAAGGTAGGAAACAACCTGCCCGCCTGCACACACTGCTTCCTAATACTTTCCAATATCAGAGTTAGTTTATGAAGACAGTTACTGCTTTTGGGCATGTTTGAGGTAATACTGCTCTGTTTTTCCCCTGGCTTTGGGACATCGGCACAATCAGGACAAGAAATTAGACACGACATTACTTGTTCTCAGCAGCGACAAAAACAAGTAATTTCGTGCATTTTCCTCCCGTTTTTGGAACTCTGCCGTTCCTGCTACTACTCACTTTGAACTAATATATATGAAGTAAATGATGACAAAAACCCCCACCTCCACCTCGGCTACCACGACACATGTTCAAGAGTAAGTTTATACATGCGTTATGAGGAGTTAGTTGTCTCGGTCTGAATTTCTTTACAAAATAACTTGGTGCCTAATAAGAATAAAGCACGACAAGGTTGTCAGTCGTGTCACTTGAACTGCCTCCCAATCAATCAGACACAATACAAGTAGTAATAACTCGGTTGTCGTATGTACGACATGACTGCCTCGGTCGACCCGGCGTAAAAAGCCCCACTTAATTTATCTCCTCGCTGGAAGGATAATGCTGGAGAGAAAAGTATGCTTATAATCTGTAATGAGGTCCATTTAGAAAGCCAAACCGTGTCATTGGAGGGTTGCGTGTGATAATAGGAGTAGTGCTACTACTTAATACACTGTCGTCTACGAATTTCCTACTCATTTCTTCCCCACTAATACGACGACTTTGCAGCTACTATTTTATTACTACTTGAGAGGATTGAGTGCAGCAATGTGAGTGTAAAATGGTATTGAAACTTTACGTTGCTGGAACATTTCTCTTTTTTATGGAGACAATGTGTACAAATTTCTTATGCAGGAGTGGTGGTTAATCAGTTCAATATGTGGCCCAAAATTTATCTACATAGTTTCTTCTTAAACCTTGCCATGCATAATGTATTAAATAGTGTGGATTGTGGATGGATGGATGGATGGATGGAGAACTTATATGCTTTTGTGCTGTGTACGTATTTGCTTGAAATTCTCTAAAGTTTTTCTAACCTCCTTCCACTCAATGAATAACATTTTGGTTTGTTTATCTTTTCAGACGACTGAGCACCAACAGATTGAGAACGATTCCAGATCTCCTGTTTGCAAACAGTCCCAGCTTAGCAAAGATGTAAGTCCGTGATGCGCTTCCGTTATTTCAATGGATTTCTCCTAAGCTTGATAAGCTCTTTGTAATTTGTTAGTTTAACTGTTTACTACATAAGTATAGCACGGCATACAGCGGACCAATACGTTTTGCAGACAATTGCAATGCACCGCTGTCGTCATTCGTGAAAAAAATCAAAAACAAGCATTACACGGAGTACAGTACTCAAAATAAATGTTCGTATAAATGTACGCTGGCAACGTCGGCTCACTTGGGAACATTTGGCGCAAATTAATTTTTACCTCTAAAAACTAAAAGCTAAACTGTTTGAAGTCTGTCATTCAATGTGCATGGGTGGAAATTGTTTTTATGGATTATCAGCCCACTCGGTCTGGTCTACTCTTCTGCCACATTTTCACTTTGAGCTTAAAGTCCATCATGTTTTCGACCTGTCCAGCAGCACTGGCAAAGTAGAAAGGCAGAGAGAGAGAGATAAAAGAACTTTTAGGCCAGAATCCGGATAGATTGGATGAGGGCAGAAGAGAGAGAGCGAGAGGGGAGGGACGAGGAGAGTGAGAGATCCAAGAAAGACGACCACTTAGAGGAAATCATCAGGTAATTTAGTGATGGGAAAGTTAACAAAGAAGTTCGAAAGCCTGCTTCCCCGTCGTCGGAGAGAAACAGATTGCTTGAGTGGTGCATGGAGGGGAGCACAATAACAAATCCTTCACCACTGACGAAGATGTGGCCTCTCTCTCTCTCTCCTTTGCCGTGATTTCAGAGAAAGTAGATTTATTTTCTCGTGGGCGAGTGCAAGTCGTGGTGCAATCTGTACTCAAAGAAAATGCAACGATTCACTGTAAAATTTAAGGACTTTGCCCAACAAAACGAGAGACCGAGTTGAGCTCAGAGTTTACCTTGTATTAATAATCCTTATCAAATCAGGAATAAATAAGTAGAGCAGCAACTCGGTGGTGGTGGTTTTCTCGTCGACAATGAAATGTTCTACTCTCCTGAGACATTGTTACGTATTGTGTTTGCAAAGAAGAAAACTCAAACTGCGGCTCTGTCCCACTAATTTATGATAATTAGCGAAAACTTTGTAAAAGTATGGCCAGATTGGCGACGGAGAAAGTAGACCTTTCCCTGAATAAACAATGCAAATTCTACACTCTACAGACCAGGTGGGCACAATGGTGGACAGGTTTATGTAAAAGGGGGAAAGAAGAGATGAGATAAGGCAATTCTATTCCAACGTCGAGTGGTGGTCTTGACCACATTTTTAAACGATAAAGTACAACATTAATCCAAAACCGTGCCCAGATTCGCCCATTTTCACAACGCCATCCAAAAGAACAAATCGGTATGATTATCATGCATTGGGTTTGGTTAGCCAGTTAGTTGAGACATTCCCACCAACCAGCAATGATACAACATTATGTCCTTCCCACCCCCACCATTCCCCCATTACCGTAACTGCGACGACTTACTGGATACCAGTTTTTTGGGGAAATGACGAAGAAAATAACGCTAAACCACATACATGCAAAACTGGTGGGTATAATAATAATGTCTACGAGATGGTATGTCGTACATGCATGTTCATCTGCACCCCGGCTGCTTATGTATTCCTGCCGGATTTATGGGCTCAGTTGCAGATAGACCTCCTCCATTTCCATTATTATGCTGCAGTTGGGGAGCATTGTTTCGTTGTGGTGAGGAAGAAGGACGGGAGAAAATGAGAATTTTCCAATTTCTCATCCCCATTACCTTTTATACTCTGACGGCTACATCATGTTCGCCTCACTCGGAGAGGCTCAAGTGATCAGATACGACATCAAAATCATCACCGCACTACCAACAGCAGCATAAATGTTGTGTATTCCTATCATTTCTGGACGTGATGGCGTGGATAAATAGAACGAAAAAAAGACGGTCATGCCAGCATAATTTGATCCACTATTTATTCCGGTCTGTACAAATTATTTGACTTTTTTATGACGCTCCACGGCGTACAAAGGGAGATAGGAAGAGGAAGGAATGTTAGTGGATCAGACTGGGAGGAAAATGAGAAATGGGGTAAAATGTAAATGGTTTTGGTGGAGTCGGCCACCTGAACATTTCCACCCAAATTATGTTGAAGGGGATCTTGTAATGAAAGCTTAACAAGTTTGCACTTTGAACTGATTAACCAACACACCTCCGCTCCTTGTTCGTCGTCGCAACCAACTCGAGTGGTCTTTTTTGCTCAAGGCTGTAGTTTTTAAATGGTGCAAGCTCATACACACCTGTTCATTGCATCATAATAAAATATCCATGCACAAAAAGACTCCTATTTTACCTTATTCTTCTCCTTATCGTCGGCAGCATCATCAGTTCGGGTCGATTATGACAACAGCCCTTTATCATTCAGGATGTGCAGTTCACTCTCTATTTGCTTGAGACTCGAGCATGCTTTGAAATTCCTCCCTGTCGATGAATGATGTGCATGGCTAGTTGCTTGCCCATTACGGTCTTGTCGAATGATCATTGTTTTTCTGCTACTTTAATTATTTTCATTAATTATGACGCTGACTGAACTCTAACCCTGTCTGAGTATGGGTCGTGGTGGTGGGTGAACTAATCATTAGTTTTTCAGTCTAGTGTTTATGGCAGTCTTGCGTGGTTGGTGGAGTTGGGTTGATCTTGAGCTTGGTATTTTTCATACATACACATGATTGACAAAAGAGGAAACTAGATCTGCATTAAATTTGCATTGCTGATGCTGCTCCTGCTAATTAATAGGTATTTGATGCATGATCAAAGTATGAAATGGTAAGGAAACCCATCTACTACGACGTGTCGTAGATGGGCAACTGGTCATCAGGATAATGGAACAAGCATTTCCTCATTCTATGAGATTTATAATTCCAAAGTTTTTTGTAGGTTTTAGATACTCAGGTTTTTTACACATAAATTGTTGGCCCATTTTCATAAACGATCCGGTAAAGTGGTTCCGGTTGCTTTGCATATTTTTTGTACACAAGTTAAAATGCATAACTCACCCGGAGTTTGTGCGTGTTTACGTATTTACAACAACCCCACATCCAACTCACTTTTTCCTACTTTTGAATCTAATTCTTCGAATAATTACCCCAGCAGCAGGAGCAGCAGCAGAAGTAAGGAATCTACATACGGAACACTTATGGTCTCATGTATGTAGTCAGTCGTGTTATGCACGTGTTTTCTCTGCATGCATCAAATAATGGAGGAAAACGACGAAACTTCTTGTCGAGAAAAGGGCAAGATTTTATTATCAAGTTAATTGGTATTCAGAGAGGACAAGTTTCAGAATGTTTGGAGGGTGGAAATTAAGAAATCTTCCGTCGACTCGAACCACACGATTACAATTTCTCGAGTATGTATATGATCTCCTTCATTAGAAGTTTTAGTTGGAGTTTGCTGCACGTATGCAAGTATGCATATTGGAGTTCCTGCCTGGTTGGAAAGTCAAATAGATGACTGATTGTTGGATGGAGGAGATGTTTGATAACTTTTTACCTCGCGATTAAATTATCCGAATCCAGATTCATGTTTCCTTGTTGAAAAACCTGTTGGATTAAAACCTGGTGGAATGATTATCGAACCTTATTTTTATTTCCCAAAGAAAAAGACTTGCTTATTTGTTGTTGTTGATATAATGAACTTGGATTACATGGATTTAGCAAAAGTTAATTTTAATACCGATGAGGTCGTGTCTCACTGTCTCGCATTACGCTGGTTTAGGATTATGTTACTTTGGACCAGTAATATAGCACAGTTCCTATCATTGTGTATTCAAAACTGGTAAATAAGTAAGTACGTGGTTGCATGAAGTAGTTCTTTGTTGCTTAATATTCAAGAAAAGGGCGAGACGATTGCAGTTTGCATGTTTTTCTCGATGCATTTACCATTAAATTAACGTCAAACTAATAAAGCAATCTTGTTTTGAAAGCATTTTCTTCCACCATTGAGAATAAATAGCCACATTATTTGAAAGTTGATGTGTACGAGTATAGGCTGTATTAAAAGTTGGCGTTGTTTGTTACCATCCCAAAATATGTACAGACTTGGAGGCCTCGACGTTTCAGTGGGAAAGAGAAAGTGACCCGCCCCACATTGTGGAAAAACTTTTTGCTTCGTTTGCGTGGGCACCGTGCAGTTTTATTGACAGTAATTGTTTTACTGGGCTAATATCCTTTCACGAGTGCCCCCCGTAATTACAATTTGCAGTTTGAAGTGTGCCCGTTGCGAAAGATTGGCTCGACATTTGTACCCGTCAATTATTAATCTGTTTGAATTTGGAGTGCATGCAAAAGGTCGCAGCATGGTATTTATGGATTAAAAGAATGACAACTTTTTGCGCAGAAATTCGAGACGACGTAACGTAGTTGCAGAGAACATTCTACACTTTCCTCAAATCAGTTTCTTAGTTAAAAGTTATTAATACTTCGTGTAGATTGCTTCGTGCCCCATTCATATTTATTAGCGTTTGACAATTATGTGAATCTTGCGATATTCAGATGTATGGAATTGCGGTGATAATTTAAAACTCCAAACTTTAATAGTATAAACCAGCTGCTCGTGCATGTAGTTCCCGGCCTATTACCTGTCACGACAGCTTAAAAGGATCATTCTAAACGGTTCTAATAATGGAGTTATTAGAATCAATTTGGTCGGTGTGCCATTTCCTTTGGGAACCATATACACCTTACGTTTCCGACTCTGCTACAATTTAGAAAGACACTGCGTGGTTGAGTGTTTATGCTCGTTGTGCTGCCTTTTTGGGAGTCTCAGCAGTAGTGACAGTCTCACAGACAGTGGGGTCCATCCTGTGAAGAGGAAGCGTGTGTATGTACATCGCTGGCCCCAAGGCGGAATACAAATAAGACGCTGGATGGAATACCTACTTTTCCACCAACCATATAATACCCAGCAGAAGAAGAGTATCATCAGTTTCCTGACCACGTCTGGTTTGGCCATATACATGATGATTTACTCTGTCGTAAATGGCCCTTTATAGACTCCAACCAGCGACGCATGCTTCTTAACAGGCTGGTAACGTCTGTGAAATAACAACTAATCGCTTCATCTCCGCGTCCCAAATATGTTTCAAATTTGCCAGTCCGCCATACTTACGTATTGCACTGCAAATTAAGCAAATACTTGTCGAACCCATGGACTTTTTGTATGTACGAAATTATGCCATCTCTGATTTCCTCTGACTTTTTTTGGTCTCTTTCACCAGAAATTATGATAATTGTTGCAAAATGTGAAAGGAGGGGGAAGCTAATTATGGAAAGCAATCAGAGCGGGTTCTTGTTAGCGTTATTATTATACACAAATCCCCAACATCACATTAAAAGAGGAAGACTTCAAAGGAGAATCTTTGAGATTTGAGTGCCCTGCCCACGCAGAAAGAGCGAGATGGAGATGCAGAGCAGCGGAAGAAATGGAAGTCGGAAAGGTAACTTCTTATGTAAGGAAGAAGATGCTGCTTCCACGGAATTTGATTTGTCTCATGTGGGAATTGGTCACGAGATGAATCGAATGGGATGAAATGATGATGATGGAATGTTCAGTGGAGAGAAAATCCGGTTCAGAAGACTCTCGAATGAGGTTATGATGATGAGGTGGCGCTCTGGGACTTGGAAATGCGACGCTTATATGACTTTGATCCGATTATTAGCTCACCCTTTCACTATGCATCACGACATTACTCGCGACATGGAGAAACCTCCACATACAAATTACAGATTTATTATCAGCAATGATATTATTATTCTTATTTAGTAATAACGACGTATACTTTATTACTTTGTATGCATATACACGAGAGTAAAGTCAGAATCGGTATCAGTCTCATATTTTGACGACGACCAATATTCCTAGAGCTCTTTCGTATATACATATTATTTGTGCAGATTATGGCCACTATTTCGCTACACGAACTACTTTCCGTCATATTTTTCAGGAATCGACACCGTCGCGCGTATGTATTCCTTTTTGGAAAGCATCTTACATCAAACATTTCCCTGTCCGCATATTCTCTCAGAAACTTGAGTCAACTTTCATATCACATCCAGCGAGAAATTTGATCCATTCTGCGCTACGTAGCTAACATTCAGGTTAAGGAGGAGTACGTACGATCTTTGCAATGCCAGATTTTGATGCCATTTGGATACGTTGTAGAACTATTAAAGTGTAGAGAAAGAGGAGGAGGGATAGGGACCAAGTTTAACATGAGGTACGCCCGCTACACCCCCTTAAAATGGACATCCAGTGCTAAACTAGCCGTACTAATTGTAAATCTTTCACTAAAGTACCACCTTGTTTGGATTTTCATAATTTGTACACATTCTTGATTCCAGATAGTTACTATTGAATATGATAAGGCAACCACCTGAAATCAAGAATGTGCACAATTTATGAAATTCCAAACATAATTGGATTTTTGGCGAAGATTTTAGTGCGGTTAGTTTAATACTGGGTGCCCCTTTAAAGAAACGTACCCCATGGCCTGTGACCCTCCTTCACTTTCTCTACACTCATGTAGCCCCACAACATGTCCAAAGGGCGTCAAGATCTGGGATTGGAAATGTCTTACGTACTCCTCGTAAGTGGAGCACCTCCCCCTCGGGTATGATGACATTTTATTAACAAGTCCCTCTGTAAATTGTGATGTCTCTCTCTGCTCGAAGAAAAACAACATGGTTGTTGACATAAAGACTATAATTCCAGAATTTATAGAGAGACAGAGATTACCTGAATCACACACGTAAAGTTTTATTTTATTTTTACTTATGTCATGTCTCCCCTTGCGGGGGTCGAGAGATTGCGGAACATCATCATAAAATTGTGATTTGAGCCCTGTCGTATCCTCTAAAAGGTTCAAGTCTGGAATAAACCCAGTCAAGTGGTGGCTGACTCTTTTGGAACGAACGGCTTTAAGTTTCCACATTTACTGCCTATACTTGAGCTTCGATTTATGAAAAGTAAACCTGGCAGAGACACAAAAGAAGGAGGCGAGTACGTTTAGTAAGCCAAAATCATTACATTCATTATGTCAGCTCCTTTGCGTACAAGTGCGCACTCCACAACCTTCTCAAGAGTTTTTAATTTGGATGCAACTCAAATAAATGAGCGAGAGCCTCGTGCTAAGCGAAATTCAATCCTTTTGTATTATAAATGGTTCGACAAACAAGATATTAAGGAGAAGAAGAAGGAGATCAATGGTTTTGATGTCCTCCATCCATTTCCGCCGCGTGCTTCCTCCACACAATTGTATCGTTCTCTCTTTTCTACCATTCCACTACTCACCCAAATCTAAAACAGATTTCTTTTTTTTCCTCCTCCTCTTATTACAATATCCACGACTTTTTTCATTAACTAGGAGGAGGATTTTAAATTCCAGCATTCCAGAGGAGAGTAAAACTTTTAAATTCCCCAAAGCTTTAAATCATCCTCTGCAAACATCCTCTCGTAAAAGTTTGTTTACTTTAGCCTCATGTATACCAAGTCTGGCACGAAGAAGTAGTCGTGGCGGTGGTGGAAGTATTGTGCAGTTTCATTGTTGTTATCCAACAACTTTTGGATGGATAAATGATTCCAATATAAATAAAACTTGGTTCCGAATTTTCTTGCTTTGTTGGCTCCTTGTCCCACTGACGCTGGGAAACAACGCACGAAAAGAAATTGGAACGGATTGCAAACTTTTTTTTGCCCGTCGTACATATGCAGATCCTTCATCGGAATAAAACAATGAATATTTGTTGTTTTCCAATGTTTTTTCTATTATTTTTCATGAAATCTACATTGCATGAGGTTACGTATGTATGCCTGCCTATCACGCAAGATGAGAGGGCAGGAAAGCCATACGTAATATTATGCTGTGTGACAAAATACATGTTTCCACATTTATTTGCCACCCAGCTAATTGAACATGATTGGAAGCTTGACGAGTGGAGATACTGACGAATTAAGCGAGATGCGTGTCAAGCGAGCCCTCATTTTATGGACAACAACGGACTCGGGCTCTAATTATTATCGCAGTAAAAGCGGAATGTGGTCTCATTGCTGCGTGTGGATGTACATACATCGAGATATCTGAACATAAAACTAGTGTGCATGCAGATGAGTTCCCATCCTCCTCGAAAACTCACAACATTCGAATGACTACTCTCAATACAAAAGCACTAAAGTTAATTTGACGTGTATAAAGACAGCTTTAAATTGCGTCTCGTTTGGGAATGATGATGAGGCGTCAGTGACACCAGGGCTGCTGCTGCTGCTGCCACTGCCACGATAATCTAAGAACCAAGGATTTTAGGAGGGCAGAGGAAAACGTATTAGCTGCACACAATGGGATGAAAACCTTTATTAGAACATTCCAGTCGAATTTAATAATAAATTTCCTGATCCTTTAATTGTCTCTGCATGGTTTATGACAACTCAACTTTTGATTTTAGTCGGGAGGCTGGTGGTGGTGGTGAAGGTGGTGAAGTTTCTTTAACCAGCCCAACAATGAGAATCGTTTCACACAATGAACAACGACCAAGTTGGAGAACGGACCAGGAGAAGATTAAAGATTGAGAAATCGCTTATAGAATTATGCTGATGGGGCCGATGGGAAGTGTCCTGAATGAAATAATAATGAATCAAACGCAAGGTTTTGTACGTATAATAGCAGTCGTCGTATCTATCTCGAGCTCTTAGCGTGGTGGTTTGGTTGTGGAAGCTGGAGGTGTAGCTCGACATTCCAAAACGACCAGTTTCTTCTTAAACCGTAGGAATTCTCGTTAGATTGGAAACCAAGCAAGCATCACTTTTCTTCCCATATTTGGACCCATCTCTCTTTTCTCACCTCCTTCTTCTCATCCCACTAAATTATACTCGCTTTCATGATTACCCTCTAATTCCTTTATTGCGTCTCATCGCAAACTTTACAAGACTTAAGAGGAGCAGGACGTATGCAAACATTCGACGACGACTGCAGCACCCGACGATGTGCAGAATGTTAATGGTGCCACAATTTGATGTTCTCCCACCACCACCACGTCCTCCTCGGTCACCATCAACCCCGGCCCTGTGCAATTCCTCCACACACGGACTATTATTACATAAACCATTATTACGGACTGCTAGATATTCCGTTTCAATATGTGTGTTATTCCCGACCTGGAGGAAATTGGAGACGACGACTTGAGGAGAAATGAGTTTTTGAATCCGTGTGTTTTTTTGTGGGGAAGATGATGCCACGTATGCTGGCAAGATATCCGTGTCCAGAGAATTTGTGCTGCTGCTGACAATGCTAAGCCGTGATTTCTCATGCCTTTGTCAGATAAGTGCATCTCGTTGGACTGAAGCTGGTGGGGAGAAGAGGTGAGAGGATTATGGAGAGTAACTCTGAATCTTTTTGGAGAGACCAGGAGCAGAGGATGCATCACGAAACGAAAGGGTTTGTGTACTGCTACGAGAGGGGCAATACTATTCCCAGTGCGGAGATACTTTTTCACTCCCAGCCATTCAAGTCCGAGAAGAAGAAGAAGAACAGAAGCAGCAAACAACTTTTGTATAAAAAATACGACATGCACATCGTTTTGTATCCATCTTGATCCTATTACCGAGGCCTAAGCTCACGAACCTCTCCTCTCAAGACAAAGGTGCTCATCCAGGATGGAAATCCACATTTGTATTCATAAACATTCCGCTGCAACTCCCTGCCTTCGAACATACGATAAGTGAATAGTAGCCACCAGAGAGAGAGAGAGAAATGCGATAGAAATAAATGGGAATGAAATAAATATGTATGTAGCCGTGTAGCTCGTCATGGTCCAAAATATAATACATGCTTCAAAGTTATCTGCCCATCTTTTTGCCACTTTCTGCACCTTCTATCGATCCGGATTTTGAGGTCAGAAAATGGCAAATGCTTTGCAAATATTCTGCCACAAATTGTCATCCAAACTAAATAAATATGTACAACTCTGCTTTTTAACTTTGATTTAATAACTGTCCCATAAGAACTGAAATGCAGTGTACAACGCCAATGAGCAGTAATGACCCATGACTGGTTGGCATTCGCTAATGAAGATTGGCACAATCAGTGTGAACACTATCGCGTAAATTACCATAACTGTCACAAATAGATCTCGTCTAATGTCTCCTCATTGTTGTGTCTCGTTGCCCTGAATTTAAATTATTCTCATCTCGCACCACTCTGCGCTGGCTGGTTGCGATTAAATTAAAGTCGTCATTTAATTGAAGGATGATGCTTTTGTTGTGCGCCGGGAACAACACACCTCAACAAAGCCTGTGGCTTTTCCCCAAGAAATGCGGCGTTGATTATCTGAAACCAAGCCGGAGAAAGAATGATGGCTCTCCGTAATTAAAGTTGACTTGACTATACGAGCGAAATGTTAATGCGATCTTGCGACAACCAGGAGCTTTGCATGCTGGATCAGGCAACGTATGTGCTACCAGGTTGACTTTGGCTCGTTAAATAATATAAATAGCTCGCATTTTTGGGGCCGTGTTGAGAACGCAGTTGGCAATACGAATGGCCCACAATTTGCGAAGTGTCACTACAACCGTATAGTGGTACACAAACAATTATGCGAAGGAATCTCATGTCTTGTGATGCTTGGTTTAGTAGCGAGAATGTGCATTCATGTATCTCCGCATATATGTGACTCCTTGTAACTATTTGCCATTTATTTACTCAGCAGTATACAATACATATAGTGGTACTTCGTTAAATGTGGTTTATTATTACGTACATGTGTAAGCATGTAGGTATCACACCTTAACAAGGAACACGTGGTTGGCATAATTGCTTCGAAAATGTCAAAGCTTATTAAAGTGACAGATGAACTGGAATTTGCGCCCAGAGGACCACGTTGAATGAATGAATCTTGTTTAATTTCCAGAGATTTGAGCCACAACCAGCTGAGTGCCATTCGAAAGCGATCCTTGATGGGGCCAAATTATTTAAAATCACTGTAAGCCTCTTTTCGAAGCAAATACGAAACACAAGTCTCCACTTTCACAAGCTCGTTAACGAAATAATTTAATTGTTTCATTCCAAAGGATGCTGGATCACAACCATCTCACGTGCATTGACGAGGCTGCCATTCGCCCATTACGAGACTTGGAAGTTTTGTGAGTAACTTATCAGGAAATGAGTTTAATAATAAAATAAGTTGCTGCTGATTGCGGGTGACTGATTGAATTAATTGCCCACACAGGACGCTGGAGAACAACAATTTAACGTCCCTGCACAAGGACGCGTTCGAAGGGTTGGTGAAACTGAAGCATTTCTCACTTGGAAACAATCCGCTGATTTGCGACTGTCACCTCGGTTGGCTGACCCGGTGGTTGAGACGAGCTCCGAAAAGTGTGTCGCAGGCCAGGTGCAACTCACCCTATCATCTCCGAGACAGAACGATTGACGAAGTTTTGGAGTCTGAGTTCAAATGCGCTGGTGAGTGGGATTAAGTTTTTATTAATTCTTACAATTTTAATCCCGCATACGAGTTGATGTTCCAGCGTCTGCATAGTTGATGGTGGTGGTGAGATTAATTTCTACTCTGGAGAATGCAAACACGAGAGAGAGCGAGCGAGAGATGGGAGTTTGTTGAGCATTTGAGCTCAGAGTTCCTTTGATGTCATATCGAACACGCAATAAGCTCGGATCTGTCTGAACGTAGGGCTTGAATAATATGGCACCACCCATTTTAACATGTTAAACCCGTCTTAAATGTCTAATGAGGATGGGCAGCAAATAAGCAACTGAGACGTTGCAACGGCTGGAAGAGAAATTCATTCTCAGCCCTTTAAGACATTTAATGAGCATATTAGATTGTTATGAAGTTAACTAGATTGCCCAAAAACCGCCTGCCTTTTCTGGTGGTGGGTGCCGAAATCTTGATTTTCCTCTCTTCCACCAACAATGAGAATGTGCAGGTTGTTGTAAAGATAAAGTCTCCTCGGAGGAGAAGAAATCTCGAAAATGTTGCTCTCGGCGGCTCCTTACTCCTTCCCATGCAGATTTAGATGGACAGAGAGAGAGGTGCATTATGGGGACGGAGGAGAGAGAGCACATGTAGTCATGATTTTTACTGGTCTACACCCAAGATCAAATTTCAACATTTTCTTCCTCTCTTCTTGTTTCGATCCTCATCCGCGACGACGACGACCTTTTGCAGAGCAGTGAGAGACAAAGGAGGAGGAGGAGGAGGAGGAGGAGAAGTCGTCGAGATTGAACATTATGACATGCAGATGCAGATGCAGCTTTATTTTTATGCTGCGTTTTTTGAGAGAAGTCGTCGCATTTATAGGAAAAAGAGTTCAAGTCATTCTGTTGTTTCTCAAGTGATTTAATTTCGGCCCTTTCTCCTTACTCATCCTTCTGTCATGTGTCAAACGTCAGGGGCAGAAGAGAGATAGCACAATTGGATTTCTTGCCCATGACTTTCCTTCATCTTCAGACAAGCAAATGATTGTTTTTGAAATAGTGCATTCATCTTCCCCAAGTCCATTTTATCTCGTTTTATTTTGCATTCCTTACTCTCCAGTCCTTTCGCAGCCATTCCTACAAATGTTTCCACTTGCTCAACATGTACATAGATAGATTCTTCTTCTTCTCTTCCTTCGTTTCCGGGAAGCAGCATCAATTTCCAGCTTTTCAAAAACTCACTTATCGAGGAAAAATACTTTTATTGCCTGGTTTCTCTCAACCCGAGAGAGATAGATGCGATACTGCTATTTGTCAGAGAGGGAAGGATTCACTCAAATGCCTAAACAACAACAGGCCCCGTTTTTTGTACTTTGTCGGTAACCGTAATGGCTCAAATGCTCGCGAAATCAGCCTACCTCTGCAGTCACAAATGTAGATGTGGTGCTCATTTCTACTCTACATTGCTCCCCGCAAGTGAGAGAGTGAAAGAGAGAGAAAGCAGCTCATCCCCAATACCAAAAATACTTATGCACATATTTAGTTGGTGCTGCACCGGATTGATCATGTTGCTGGTGATAAATAATCAACGACTATTTTGAATTTGCAGGGGTGGTTGAGCGGAAATGGAACAAGTGCGGTGGCGACGAGAACTGTCCTCATCCCTGCGTGTGTGCGGATGGTGTGGTGGATTGCAGGGACCTCACCCTCAAATCCGTGCCAGACTCCCTGCCCGAAGATGTCATTGAGCTGTAAGTCATAATAAGCATCTCTCTGCGTAAATATTGTCGAATATGAATCTTCTTGCAAAGTGCTCTCTCCTCATGCTGACGAGAGAGCGAGAGAGATAAGCATTGTGCTCTGGCGCTCATTTCCTCTTCTTCCTGAAAGCAATTGAAAATATTTTGAAATTGCCAAGCCCAATTTTTTCCCAATGCAATGCTACAGATATGTATGAAACTTATGTAGCTGATAAATACGTGCGTATGGTTGGTTACAGTGCGTGAGAGATAATGTTGTTGCTTGATTTTGGTTTGCAGGCGACTGGAGCAAAATGAAATCACTGAAATACCACCCGGAGCGTTTTCCTCATACAAACGTCTTCGAAGATTGTAAGGACAACTTAGCAACGAGCCACGATATACATTAAACCACCATTCTATTAACTTTGTTGACTTTTCCAAACCCCAATTCCACCTCATATTGCCCTTATTTGGGATTATCGCATCCTCTCCATTTCGGCAATGTTGCACCGTCATTCATGATGGATCTTTGACCTCAAACCCAACTCCATTTTCATCATTAATCTAATTTCTGATGCGTAATCCACATGACACTCACCCACACTGGTCGGTATGGATCAGTGCGTAGACGAGAATAAGTGTCGACACAGCGGTTTAATGGACCATAATAATAATAATCGAGCCCATTTTTTTGCACGCAGGGATTTAAGCAACAATCAGATCCAGAAGATTGCAGTGGATGCGTTTCGAAATCTCAAGTCGATGACGTCCCTGTGAGTTCATTTTTCTCTCTTTGTCTCTTTATTTGTTTATTTACGAGTTCCCACTGGCGAAGGACTGGTGGGCGTTGTCACCACCATCGCCCTCAAATCCTGTTGCTGTTGCTGACAGTAATGCGGAGCCTGAAATTTCATATCTCGTGAGGACGAGGTTGACAATTCAATAACTGCTCGAATAACACTAATAATAATGGAGGCATGCGACTCCTAATGTCCACGTCGTGATGAAATGGAAAGTGTGTGTGTCTCTGAGAGGACAGGCGACGACATAGCAGAACAAGTGTTGGAGTCGGGTTTTAATAATAAATAATAATTGGACGTGTATCCGTATGTTGCAGGGTGCTGTACGGAAATCGCATCACGGTTCTCCCACCAGGAATATTCAACGGACTCTCCTCTCTCCAATTACTGTGAGCACCAACACGTGATGATTTATGGCATTTTGATTAGTCTCCATTTTCGAATAACCATCAAGTATCATCTCATCACTTTTCATCCCCACACAAAATTGCTTTATGAGCCCGACTTACGTATGAAACGAGTTTCTCTCGATCCGATCCATCTCTAGCTCATTTCAATATGCGATGAGTTTTCGTAATGAATCCATCCTAACGAAGGCGGCTTATCGGGTAGAACATAGTGTTACCTCCGTAGCAGAATTTCACCACTAACGCCAACATCATCACCGCACCATCACGGATGGATGGATGCAACGAAACTCGCAGATGTATAAACTATTGATTATTATGTGAGTTTCGTGAGGAAAGGTGGCAAGAGTAGAAATATAATCTCATTTTCACCCATAAAATAAAAAAAGTCCTTATAAATTTACACCACTTGTGTCCTTGTAGATTAATCCAATTATAAAATCTTTTACCTATCTAGTTAGAAATGGTTGAGTCGTTTAACTGCATTGTTAGGTTGGCAAAACGTACTTAGCAGTCTTGCCGTATGGAAAATTGGCTTGAACCGTGTTTTTAAAAACTTTATGAATCTTAAATATGCCGAGGAGGACATAAAGCACATCAGGCACAGTCCCAATCTTAATGCCTCCCATTAAAAAAAATGTCGGGAGTTACGAATTATAATTATTTATTTACCCTTAAATTTATGAGTATATGGCGTATCAGATGTTAAATAAAACAGTCTCAGGCAGCTACATAAATACTTGCGTATGAAGCCGTCATATAATGCACAACAAGAACGTGGCGTCGTTTTGGGAGCTGATCCTCTTTTATCGTCGGCAGTTTATTTCAATGATTCAAAATTCAGAGAACATTCTCATTCCGGTGCATGACGGTTGCCCAGAGTAAATTGTGTAAGGATTTGCTCTACAACTTAATTCGTTTTGAAATATTAGCATGATATAATACGTCCTATCTCTGTCTCTCAGTACACTACTCGGCTACTGTGGTTTCATTTCATTTCATGTTCTGCTCACTCATTCACTCATGTTCTGCTGCTGTGGTTTGTATTTCCAGCTTACTAAACGCAAATCGGATTACATGCATTCGCCGAGACACATTCCAGGACTTGAACAACCTGAGCTTACTGTAAGTTGTAGTCGTTTGTCGGAATTTTGAATTTTAAACAGTTTACATGACGATGATCAACCCCAAGTGTTTTGCTCTGTTTGATGATAAAGGTCATTTGTTTCGCGTCATTAAGCGTATCGCGTATCTCATTGTTGATTCCGTGGTTTCGTTCTTGTCTTTCTCCTTCCAGGTCGCTCTACGACAATAAGATCCAGTCCCTCGAGAATGGAACCTTTGAAGCGCTCCGGAACATCCAGACTCTGTAAGTGGCACCACTCCTACCGCTATTCTCACTCATTTCGATCGTCTGATTATGATGGATGGTCATGGATCCATCCACTCACTCCATGCTTGCACTATCACATTCGGAGGAGGTTATTACCACGAACGGTTGTAATGAATTCGCTGGATCCCTCCATTGTTACTCGGTTGGCTGGTTGGTGGTTAAGTGTTCCTCAATAATAATGTCACATCCACCTAAAGCTAAACTGCCGGAATTTCAAACTGGAAAACTTTGACGTTTGAGATTCCGCCGGAGGGGGAGAGAGGGGAGAGAAAAGGACACCGAATCCGGAACCTTCGGATTCTTCCCTATACGAACATTTTCAGATTGGTTGGTGGCATTATTTCTACTTGTTCTCGTTTGAGTGGCTTTCCCACCGAACTGCTCGAGGGGGGTTTCCCTTCGACACTCATGAATTCATGCATTATCACGAAGAATATTAAACCAACAAAGCCCCACCGTAAACTCGTTACTCGATCACAACCACCATAGATGTTTGAAACTAACATGCAGAAAAAGTGGCATATAAAACAAGGCGTGAATGAGTTGGGGAAAAAATTGAGGAGGTTTGTTCAGCAATGAAGAATCGGTCCGGCCGTCAATCGATCTCAGTTCTTCTCCTTGTGAGATGATGGAAGAATAGAATTAAGTTTGAGTTTTGTGTCGTGATGCCGCAGGTTAGGAATTCTGACTTGGAAATAAGTCGAGAAGAAGCCGCACACACAGACACATAATAATAATAATAAGAAAGGAAAAAGAGGAGCGACCTTGCCTCCCTGTCAGACATTGAGCCGAGAGAGGAGCGGCTGAGAAATAAGTAATCCGTCGTCCTCCTCATCTTCAATCCAATATCAAACAATCTATTTTGCGGCTTCTGACGAGGAGAGAGGAATCTATTTTTGAAATAATCTCACCGCTTTTCCTTCATCAATTCCTCACTTGAAATGCATCAAGTCGTGATGCAATATGCATTTTGATTAGATTCACTTCGTGTGACTGGTTAAGCCAGCAGTATTGGCTTTTCGTTGGGCTATTGTGTAGATTTTTGGTTCGTGAGGAATTTCTAGCCCAAAAACTCAAAACCCACCACAGACCTCATCTCGTCAAAAAAGCTCCTCTCCCTCTTCCTTCCTTCCTCTCAAAGATTCGCTGCCAAACCAACCGCCACCCATTCCGTTCTCATTACACAAACATGAGTCAACAACAACAAGAGTATTAAATTTCGACATCACACACAAGAACTAAACTTTGCAGACTGGGAGGGTTGAGTATAAAAAAATTCGCAAACCGGAAGTTGCTACCCGATGTGCTACACATACATATTTACCCCTTTTTCGAGCGAAACCATTCCTATTCTTTTGGCGATTGGAATTGAAGTCAGTCAAGTAAGATCAGAACATGACTTATATGTCAACACTTACGACTGCAGCCACCACACCCACCACGACAACGAACACTACATTCATAAATACAATGAGGACTGTCTCATTACTCACTTTACGTCATCATCGTCGTCGTCGTCGTTGGAGAGACATTCATTCCGAAACAGCATCATAGTTCTCATCACCCGGCTGGATTACAACTCTGTCAATTTGAGCCACTACTACTGGTGTTCCGCTGTCATTAAAATTCCATTACTGCAATATGCTCCACCACACCAACCATCCATCCATCCCTCAACCAGTCACTCTTTCCACAAACTGAGAAGAAGAAGAAGACTGAGATGTGAAACCGAGATGGTCATTAACATTTTCTGATGTCACAGTCTTATTAGAATCTGACTCTGACATGCCGTGTGTCTCCCGTCTTGAAAGTGTGCCGTGGTTGGTATAGGGTTCCACATTTCTTTGTGTGGGAAGCTTCCTCACTTCCGAGTTGGCATTTGTCGTCCTTTCCTTTGGTGCAGATTAGACTTTGAGGCATTTTAATCCAATCCATCAAAAACTGTATATGGTTCGCCCAGTTTCTCACTTTGTCTGCCCACCACCACCCACTTACCCAATACCCCATCTGCACACAAATTATGCATGGAGACGCTTATCAAGCAAAGGTTAATGAGACGTGAGGGACGCGGAGATAATGATTCGGCACAACATGCATGACATGAATCGAATCGCAAGACGGGCGATGACCAAAAAAATACGCCTGATTAGTCCAGACGTTCGTTTTGCGGTGTTGTATACCCATTACCTCGGCTTGACTGGGGGATACCATTTAAAGCATTAAGAGGGGATTACTTAATGATGACATTCACTAATTGCAGTCATTTGGCTCGAAATCCATTCCACTGCGATTGTCGACTTCGCTGGCTGTCGGATTATTTGCATGGAAACCCTATCGAGACTTCAGGGGCGAGGTGTGAAGCTCCCAAGCGAATGCAGCGGAAGCGATTGGCCTCCTTCAGAGAGGACAAGATGAAATGTAAGCCAGCTTTGCGTTATTGCATTTATTTCTTATTTTGCTCCCTCTGCTACTTTCACCCTTTTTGTACCTCGGCCGTATACTTACGTCCAACCAAAGTGCCTCCTTTGTGTGTGCATCCTTCCTTTCTTGGAGAAAATCGTACAGCTCTCAAGACTCAATCCATCCTTACAACCTTTGAGCCACCTTTTTCCTCCACTTTCCATTTTCCGGCTTACATAAGCACATTCGTCGCCTGAGTCGTCGGTGCCAATGTGCGTGCGAGGAGTTTACAGTGTTCAAACATAATTTTTGTTGTAAGCTCCTGCTTCTTCTTCTTGTTTTGTGCTCTTTGTGAGCGAAGGCTTTTATTCTCGGCCCAAAAAGAAGTCAACCATGTCATCGAATGAAAATCCCATCAATTTATTTTTCCCGTGTATCGATTAAAATTATTGTGCGGGTTGAGCTTCGATTTACGTATGTTGCATATCGTGTATTTTTGCAGGTGACGAGGAGGACAGCAAGACGTGGATCGACGAATGTGCAGACATCAAATGTCCAGTGGAATGTGTTTGCGAAGGAGGCGTGGTGGATTGTTCTAACCGAGCATTTCGAGAAATTCCACAGGACATCCCGGAGCAAGTCACACATTTGTAAGCCATTCCTTATTCACACATGTATTCAGTCGAGACGCAAAATCTCGCGTTTCTTTCTAAAGGTTTATAAGTGGTGCTAATGAAAAGCTATTGACCGAGAAATGCGTGTCCAGCAAAAAGGAGGCAGGGCAAAAAATGTGTAAATAGCACCAACTACAGACAGAGTTTGAAACGAGGAGAAGCACGTTTCAAGTGGTTGTCGAAGAAATGGAAGAAGGTATTTTCTGGCTCCAAAGATGATAAGAGTCGTTGTGGATATGTAGTAAAGCAGCCTGTAGCTGGAGAGCTAGGCTAAGGTCAGAGCTCGTCACTCCACTAAATCAAAATGTTTAACGACTTGCAAGGAAGCGCATAAATCAGTCAGACTTTCAATTAAATCCGTAATTATGCGCTTGAACCTCCTTTTTTGTTGGGCTTACGCTGCTGCTGAAGCTGACGACGAAGACGACTGAGGAGTCTCACTCTTTGCTTATTTGTTTCCAGGATTTTATCAGGGAACAATTCATCCAGTTTATTAACATTTACAATAATAAAAATGACACGTTAGGTTACAAATTAATGAGTTGGACCAACGTAGATCTCAACTCCATAATGCTTTAGCATAAATAGATTAATTTTTGATAAAGAAGTTTCATCAAAGAACTTGGCATTAGTGAATTTGTTGAGACAAATAGGAAAGGCGTCATAAGGAGTGGATCCATCTGGAGAAGTGTAACCAGGATCTGAGACAAATTGTTGATGCAGACGAAGAAGGTCGGCGAAAGAGTTGGCAAGGTGGAGATGAGCTTCGTTGGCCTCCAAATCATCCACATGACAAGAGGACAAAGGAATCAGTTCCCAGGGCAGGTGACCTTCCATCAAACTGTACTGAGTCACAGTATCCAAGGACGAGGTGGCCAGATGGAGACCAGTACCAGTCAAGGTCTTCCCAAAATAGTTGATGTGGGGGTTGGATACGACGTAGAGTACCCCACGTTGTTTGGCCACCACCATTGAGGAGGCAACTTCTTGTCCTTCTCGTTCTTTACCAAAGGGGTATGGGAGGGAGGCCCTGTACTCACGGCCCAAGTATTTGGAGATACCGAGCTGCATTCCCCAATTTTTCATCTCTTCTAATACTTCTTTCTCTGCTCCATTTGGCAACGCTATATTCCTATTCAAATATCGAAACGTTGATGTGGCTGGGACTAGTTTCCGCAGAAGTATGACAAACTACAAAATGATAAAAAATGTTGACCAACTGAATGACTTAATCATAATTGTGTAAATTATGTACCTGTCTAGCTGCATAAACTTTATTAGCCTGTTTTTCTGTTGCAAAGTATCGTCTTTGCCCAGGAATTTCAGTAGAAGTTGGGGGAGGTAGATTGATATTAGTGAATTCTTTAATGTACAAATCCCAGGGAGTTTTCCCACCTCCACCACGACCATTTGCGATATTCAAAGCCGTTGTAGCTCGTTCAGCCTTCTTCTCCTCATTTTCGTATGTAAAGGGGGTTATGGCGTGAAAAAATGTTGGAATTATGCTTCCTTTGTCCTCATACTCCGATACGACGTATTCCCACGTGCTCCTATGAGCGTGACAAAATGGGACCGCTCCCGACGTCCCAAGATATCTGAAACAGTCTGTAATCAAATTAATACTTAGAGTAGGTTCTAAAAAACATTGGACCAAATTTCTCACCATCAGACATGCAAATGACCCTCCCTCCGGCATTGTCATTCGCCTTTACATCCAAAACTAGCCTCTCATAGCCAGCAATTTTTCGCCAAACAAGATGGTAATTTGTCCCCTGCACTTTTATTCCATCTTTGGCCGCCTTGATCTGCCTGATCGCCTCCTCCTTCTCGTCTTTACTTAATGGCTCCACCACCTTCTCTGAATAACCTTCTGGAGTACACTTGTCTAAATCAGGGGAGTCGAACTCCTCCCCTTGTTCTTCTGGACGGCCAAGAGAATAGAATGTCTTCCTTATTTTTACAACACCACCGTCTGATATATCCGTATGGCTCTCTCTCTTTCCCATGTTGACAACCTTGCCTACTGAGCTCCAGTCCTTTCTTTCTTTCCTCACAACAATTGTCCGGTCTTTGTACTTCGGTGGGAGGTCATCAACCTTGGGTACCTGAGACATAATCTCCCATGAATATTTTGCCTTCTTTGCAGAGGAGGAGGAAACCTATGAGCACAACATTATTATTATCTGATAATTTCTGTATTATATCCTATCCTTATCTGGCTTACCTCATCTGATGACGTCGTCATATTAATGATCAAATCCACTTAAAAATAGCAGATTGTGCAGTTGACAATTACTGTACTCGACCAGTATATATGTATTTAATTTAAAAATGGATTATTCAATTTATCCGCGCACTGTGTTATAGATGTCTATCTGGGAACAACCTGAGCCGCATAAGAAACGGCTGGATTTCTTTGCTCCCAAATTTGCAAAAGTTGGATTTGAGTGGGAACAGAATCTCTGCCATTGAGGATGGAGCCTTCCGGGACGCATCTTCACTGCAAGAAGTGTGAGTACAGTAAATTGTTTTCAGCTCATCTCTCCGCCACCATTCCTCATTCCGCGTAAAAAAAGAGCTACACTTATGACGAGATCTGGTTAAGTAAAAAGTGGCCTTTTGTAAATATCAATCACCAACTAACTAATATTATGAGACGACAGACGAACCCAAATATATATAAAATACACACACGTCCAGCTCAGCCAGCCAGCTTATCCCACCCACCCCATGTAAATAATTCCATTTCCATCACCTAATATCTTGAGTCGTCCTTTTGGCTCAAGGGTTCATAAATTATTAAAACTATAACTGATGACTTTTAGGAGAGAGCAATATTTTTCCTGGGTTTGTTCCCATGTGCCATTTTATTTTACTTTGTGTGATTTGCTCGAACCCCTTATTACTTGGCTTTGGTGAGTGGATAAGCCAAGGATGACATACGTACATACAGCCCTAACCACTCTTAAGAACGCAGTGGTATGGATTTGGCTGGATGGAGGGGGCTGATGGACACGACATCAATCAAACTGTTTATTGACAAAGGGTTGAACCCACCAAAGAGTTAAGCACTAGAAGAAGAACAAACTTTGGACGCACATTATTTTTGTTTTTATTACGCCTGGTCCATGACTATGATGACCAACAACTTCATTCCTCCTCCTGCTAATCCAATCCATCTAACCCGTGGTGGTGGCGTGGTGTGCAGAGTTATGCTCAGAATGACCCACCCAATTCTTCTTGACGGGTTTTAATGACCACTCGCAGACAGCAATTAGCAGACTTGAACTACCTGCATAGTGGGGTTCCTCAACTCTGTCAATAAAACACACAACGGCGACCACGCACTTGTATTCGTACATACATAAGCAAACTCTTGTGTCAATGTGCATCGAGTTTGCTAGACTTTCACGGCGTTTCTTATATTAGAATATCGCTTATGCTATTGAAATTTGTTTAATACATATCGCGACTTGTGTATCGCTATAAATGTTGGACAACTCTTTTCCATGTACGAACAAGCACGTTCTGACTGACACGTTTTTGCATAAACACATCCATCCTTACAAAAAATAGTGCGAGACAATAACACGACTGGACAACACTTGTACAGAACTTGAGGATGTATGTTATCCTCATGTCAAAAGTGTGTCATCACGACGACGACGACGACGACGACGATGATGACGAAGACGTGTGCATCTGCCTTGGTGGGCACTTTAGTAATTAAGACACAGAAGAGAGTTAAATTGCGGAAAAAAGTTTCCAGAGTTTGCTGCTTCCAGCCAGCGAGGCAGACAAAGCATAATGTTTGAGTACTTGCTTGCTTTACTTGCTTGGTTGGTGGGACGGACAATTTGATGAAATGTGGTTTTTCTTTCCACAGAGCGATTTCTGGGAACAAATTGAAGGAGATAAATAATAAGATGTTCTTGGGACTGACTCATCTGAAAACTTTGTAAGTTCTGTGCAACCACTTGTAGTTAGTTAGTTAACTGTTCTCCACTATTCAGCAGTTGTCCAGAAGCGAGTGTATGCCTTGTCATGCTGCTTTCTCCCATGCTGCCTTTCTTACTTTACTTACTCATACATACACTTCCCCCAGTTTTCTAGCTTCCATCCTCGTTCCACGGCGGACATGGAGGACGATCGTAGCAAAACTTTCTCCAGAAACCACAGCAGCTTGTGCGTCGCAGTCCTCAGAATCCCTTCTTGATTGCTGCTTTATTTACCTACGGATTTTAGACGTGCCGAATTTGTGGTCCGAGGAGTGTGGATGACTGATTGAGAGAACTCTTTTTCTCCAGTAGTTTACTCGGAGATGCTTTTTCTTAGTTGCTTCATAATTTCATCAAAGCAAGTTCACTCCACCGTTCAGCCCGGCTCACTTTCTCATTTTTTCTCTCGACTGGAGCATGGACTTGTTTCCATCCATTCATATGAGAATTTTGAAGGGGAAAAAATGGGGGCTTATATGTACATAAGTATGTTGCAGTATGTTTGATGATGCTTGTATTGTTCTATCAATATCCGGAGGTAATGATGCCAAGATGACCACACACTCTGCTGATACGCTGACCGGATTTCGATAGGATTATAAATTTCACGCTGGTTTGCTTTATCTTTGTTTGCGAGTCTATCTAGACGTGCTTATGTAAGAACTAATCCCAAGTTTCATAGCGGGGGAAAACAAGACAACTTTTTTTATTTGTCTTCCAGAAACTGAATGAATGTCGTGATAACTTTTAAAATAATACTTGTTCTTTTTTGACAGGTCCTTGGCTGACAATCACATATCCTGCATAATGCCCGGCTCCTTCGATTCCTTGTCCAATCTCCAATCTTTGTAAGTTTTCAAATTTGAAAGTTTTGCAATCTTTATTCAAACTTGGAATGAGAGAGCTGTCGTCTCGAACGAATGTACACTTGGATGGACTAGTTGACACACATTCGTCCGTCCATGGTGTAAAACATAATAAGCCGCGCTCCTCTCCTCCGATGTGATGCATCATTTTATTATTACTATTTTGCAACCATATCTCAAAAATAATGGGACAGGACGAGTTCTACTTTTCTTTTGCATATATTTCGTTTGAATATCGAGGCAGACAGGCAAGAATAATGATAATAACGATAATAATAAGAATAATAATGCCGAGCCACCAACTCCTGCGGGATGGATGTCTCCTACAATAATTCTTCCCGTGGAGGAAAGTGTACTGACGGAGAGGAGGCTGTGATGACTAGTACGCCGTTCTTCATTGATACTTTCTCCCCACTTTCCTCGTCCTTGTTGTCTCTGCGTGATTACACTGAGCAAACTGTGGAGCAGTCCTGTGGAGAACGGGAGAGAGAGAACCGGCTCGAGTTTTGTTTTTAATTTAATATAAGAAAACAAGTGGATGATGGGAGCGTGCTATGCCACCCGCAAAGCATGTCTGAGAACTTGGAGGAAAGAATGAGACGAAACGAAGCTCTCTCTCTTTGGCCTGACTTGCTGAGTCTTTGGAAATTTAGTTTTTCCTATGCTTAAATCGTGCAGCATGCACGCGTCACCCCGAGATTTCTGAGACAAAGAAGCATGAAAAGTGCGGGTTTGGTACGTCTGTGCTTTCTCCTCTCTGCTCTCATCTCTTGTTTTTCGTGCTGCCAACCAAGGTGGTGGAGACAAGCAGAGCAGCAGCAGCAGCAGCGGTATTACAGAAGCATGAAAGAAATGATAAAAGTTATTCAGACTTTTTAAGAGGGAATCACTGCAAACTTTCTCTGGAAAGCGGCGTCGTGCTATGATAGCAGCGGAGGAGCCTGCCTGCATCATCATTTTGTTTTGGGAGAAGAGTATTATGTAAAATGGGTCCTTTCTCACCACTCTATCCATTTGCAAAGTTTCAAATTTCAATCGCCGGATGTGTTGTTAATGTCGCATAACACAATTGCAAAAGTGCTCATATTTTTTCCTAGGAAGGCTGAGATGCTTTAGTCTCCAAATTTCCGTGCAGTTCGGGCTGGTGAAAGTCCTGCAAAGTATCATAAAATACTGAGAGATGATTTAATATTTCTTTTCGGTCAGTCACACTCCGCTATGGCTTATTTTTTAAAGGACGATTTTTTTACACCAAATTCTCTCAGAAAGTGCCACGACGATTATTATGAAAAGTTTACACAACAAGCACTCACTCACTCACTCACTCGCATTTCTGGAGTGGCGCAATATTGAGTTTTGGTTTTGGATTGAAGCATTCATGGATTTTTGAAAGAGATTTTTTTTTCGGGGAGAAAAAGATAGATTTTTTATTGAATCTCAGTAAACAAGTTTCGCTTGTTTGGAAGCTTTTCAAACTGCAATCAAGAATCTTCTAGTGAACCAAGTCCGTCATGATGGTGTGCAAAAATGTCATGATTTCTGCTGGTTGGTGGGGAAAGAAGTGGTTCTTGATCCGGGTTGTTTGCCGAAACCGGAAGAAGGGTACTATTCAGGCAGGATTTATTTATTGTGCTGCTCCTGTTCATATATGGCAGGCTACTTCCGTTCTGATTTCCTATCTCTTGCCAGTCAATTTTTTATTTTCTCTCTTTTTTCCTCTCCTCCTTCTACAAGTGAGTACGTACGCACGCATTCCACTTCTTTGACATAAATAGAGGACGGAGAGAGCAAACGTGCCCGAGGTGGTGTGGCTTTCTCCTCTGTGTAACAAGATGCTTCATCAATGAAGCGAAAAAAGAACACTAAACCGGATACACGCATTTTCTTGCTATCCTTTTTTCTCCTCCTCCTGCTCCTCCACGAGGGGATCAGTATCATCATCATGATCATCATCATCCGGGAGTAAATTGAGCATTGTTTCGTCTCCTTGTTGGCTAAACATGTTCTCCTTGTTTGATCCGGTGTTTATTTGCTCGTTCAACTGGATCAAGATACTAATTGGATGTAAAACGCTTCACTTTTTCTGCAGGGACTTGGATGGAAACGCGTTCATTTGCAATTGCCACCTGGCCTGGTTTGCAGACTGGTTGCGAAGAGAAGAGTCCCTCTTTCCGTCGAGTGGACCAAAGTGTGTGGCCCCCATGCGTCACAAGGACACCTTGATTCGCAGCCTGCCAACGCATGAGTTTCGGTGCACGAGTAAGTTATTGCTTGCAATTTGGGGTTGAGGAATTTAGTGTTGTGTTGTGTAAATTAGCCGCATTATTTTTTCGCCAAAGGTGACGACCGCGGATGTCTCGGAGAAGAGTACTGCCCACCGCAGTGTAACTGCACGGGAACCGTTGTGTGGTGTAGTCGAAGTAGTTTGAGAGAAATTCCGAGCGGAATTCCAGCAGCCACTTCTGAACTGTATCTCGACGTGAATGAAATCCAGAGGATCGACTTGAGCCGAATTAGACATTTGAAGTATCTCACGAAACTGTGAGTCCAAATTTAGCCGAAAATAAATCAAATAAAAAAATCTTTCCTTGCTATTTTTGTGACGTAAGTGATTGTGCGTATTTATGTTGTAGGGATTTGAGCAACAACCAAATCACAATGATTTCCAACCATACTTTCGCAAACTTGACGAAACTCTCGACTTTGTAAGATTAAAAAGTTTTTTATTGCGCTATTGCCATGAATAAGGAAGCAAAGAAGCGATATTTTATTTATTTATTTAACCATCGATCCATCCCCATACTTGCAGGATAATCAGCTACAATCGGTTGCAATGTATTGAGAGGGACGCTCTTGCGGGTCTGACGGCACTCCGAATTTTGTAAGTTTTTGCAATTTGTAACGACTCTGAGAATATAGAAGTTAACTTTATTCCGCAGCTGTACTTGAGACCATAATGTGTTATTCTTCGTGTGTATATAGATCTATTCATGCCAATGAAATTTCCATGATACCAGAAGGAACTTTCCGAGATCTACGTGCCATTACGCACTTGTAAGTTGTCTGTCACATAAATTGTGCGAGGAGGAGGAGAATGAAATCGAGTAGAAGAATCTGTTGTAAAAATGAGTGATTTGTTCCAGGGCTTTGGGTGGAAATCCGCTATTTTGCGATTGTGGACTCAAATGGCTTGCGGACTGGGTAAAACGTGACTTTTTGGAGCCAGGTGAGAGAGAAGACACTTATTGTAAACTAAGTTAGTTACGTGAATGAATGAACTCAGTTTGAGCATCCATAAATTTGAAAACTAAATCCAAACTCTATGTAAAACGGATTTTATGAGAGAATCATCAAATTTTGTATCCCTTCTGTCCCACAAATTTGACTTAAAAAGAATATTGTTTTTATGACTGAGAAGAGTGCAGAAGCAATTTAATGAAATATTTAGCGTGCTTTGAGAGAAAGTATTTCGGGTTTCCTTTTCCCATAATCTTTATAGGATGATAAGTCAGGCAATGGCCAGAGAAATGTTTATCAAGTTGGGTCGCCCTTGTGCCTTTCGTCTCATATTTCCATCCAATTTGTGCAATTAATGCTTCCACATCGTAGTATGCTGACATAAAATGATAAAGTGTAACTCTTATCGATAACTTGCTGGAAGGATCTAAATTATTTTTATTTTGTCAGGAATTGCTCGATGCAGTGAGCCAGAGTCGATGAGGAATAAACTTATTCTAACGACTCCTCCAGGTAATTATACTACTATAATTAACTAAAGTCAATATCATGTGTATTATATAATCATAAATTTTATGCTAATTTTAATAAAATTATAAACCCATCTAGGTGACTTTGAGTGTTGGAAAGGTGAGTCAATTTAAATTAAGTATTTAAATTAGGAAACATTTAGGGCATGGCAAAACTGAATAATAATTGTGGCGAGGATTTTCCTTGTTTGCATAAAATGGTTATTTCTTAACACGTGCTTTTCAGTAGCATCACTTTCATCCCTTCATCTCATCTGAATTACATCTTTCACGTTTTCATCTGTCCAATCCTCTACATATTTTCCTCAATTCTTTCACTTTACAGTCAAGATATTTTCATCTTATCACCAATGCATCGGGTTGCAAAAATTTCCTGAAACTCTTAAAATTAAAATGACTCATTAATTAAGCAGCAAATTAGTTTCACAAAAACAGGGATCTAACAAGAATATGAAATCTGGTATTTTTCATTCCGCGTCTGTCGTTTTTTCGTATGATAAATTCCTGTATGGAAATAACTCGAGTTGAAAACCAGCCATCAATGTATTCTCCTTCTTCTTCCTGATGTATCCTGTTATTTTAGTACCGTTCCCGTCGTAGAATAACCTGTGGTTCTCCATGAGATTTTGAATCCATAGGTATGACATTTTAATGGCATCGCAGACAACATTTTCTCTCAGAGGGCAGTCATAAAACGAAATCCAAGTCAGATTTAGCCCTAAGCGGAGTAAATGCCTTTTGAATTACATAACAGCAGCAGCAGCAGTGCTACGAGAAATGGAATGAAATTGCTATTTTTGCGTATTATATTATTTTTCCTGAGAAAATCCTGCGATTCTTTTCCCCTTTTACATATATAGTTACACGGCATTGTTTAAGAATCACGTAGAAAAACATGAAAATGATTTATGTGGCATCAATGAAAACATATTTCATCTCTCTGATGAATGTGTCTCGTTACGAGGCATTGTTACGTTACAGAAGGCTGATGTTTGTTGGCGTAATTTATGCTTTACAGATAGCATACCCGCGTCCATTCAAGCGAAATGCGATGCGTGCTACAACTTCCCATGTTCCAACGGAGCGACTTGTCGGACGATGCCTGACCGAGGTAAATATTATTTTTCTGCGGAGGACGACGACGATATCGGATCCATGAACAGTCTCACAAAAAACGCAAACTTTTTGGCACGTAGGGTTCGAGTGTGAGTGTACTCCTGGTTATCATGGGCGTCACTGCGAACAAGTTATTGATGCGTGTTACGGACAACCTTGCATTAACGCGGGGACATGCAAGGTCATGGAGGAAGGTCGATTCAGGTACGGTTGAAAACTTGGTGTCAATTAATAATTTGCATAATTAAAATAATAATTGGGTTTAGCTGTCTTTGTCGCGCTGGATTCATTGGTCATCGTTGCGAAACCAACCAAGATGACTGCGTTGGTCACAAGTGTGAAAACAATGCGACCTGTGTGGATCTCATCGGGCACTACAAGTGCCAGTGTCCGCTAGGATTTACAGGTTCGATATATATCAATATATAATTACATCTTTACGGCAGTTTTATTTTCTTAATTGCCCGTACTAATTGCATATGTATGCAAATGGTCCTTCTTTACCATTAATTAGGAGAATACTGTGAAAAGAAGATCCCATTCTGTACCAAGGATTTCAACCCGTGCAAAAACGGAGCCAAGTGCGTCGATCATTTTACCCACCACACTTGCGAATGCCCCATTGGATACCAAGGCGAAAACTGCTCCATTAATATTGATGACTGTCTAAATAACATGTGTCAAGTAAGTTTGTTTGCTCAATTGGTAGTCCTTCGTGCCTATGTACACCATGTAGAATTATTATTATCATGTTGTTACTCCTCGTTAAGCAAACGACCTCTGATGGGGCAAAGTTGAGCAAAATAATGTCTTTTTGATTATTAATTAGAACGGAGGAACGTGCGTGGACGGGATAAACGAGTACACTTGCCAGTGCACGGAAGAGTTTAGTGGACGGTACTGCGAGGTGTCTCCTAGCGTGGCGATGCTCTACCCGAAGACGTCCCCATGTCAGGACAATGTATGCCCGACTTTATTTTCAATTGACATGAAGCCATCCATTTAATGCCAGTCATGACATTTACTATTAAGTTTTGGGAACCAATGTATTTACTATTTAGTACATGGTTTTATTTATATGCACGGAAATAATAGTAAAAGTTGCTTTTTCTGTCGAATGCGTGCACATTTAGGGATGCAAATTTCAGCGAAACAATGATATCCATGCGAACAATTTGCTACTACGATGTCTTTATTACGCGAGTTTTATTTTATTTTATCCTCCTCTCAACAATTTCAGGATTGTCTTCATGGCTTCTGCTTCCTGCCTCCAGACTCCAACCCGCCTGACCCCGTCTGTTTCTGCGAAGCTGGTTACACCGGTGAGTGAGCAATGTTACAAGTTTTACGATACCGTCAAGCAGGCCAAGCAGCACAGCAAGTTTTGTGGTTAACACGAGTTGAAATCTCTCTACAGGGAAAAGATGCGAGTTTTTAACGAGCATTAGTATCGGAAGCAATGGCTCGTGGGTGGAATTGGAGCCTCTCCGCACAAAGCCAGAGGCCAACATAACTTTGATGTTATCCACGACGGAGCTGAATGGGGTTCTCCTCTACGACGGGGAGGGCCAGCACATCGCCGTCGAGCTCTTCCTTGGACGGATACGAGTCAGTTATGATGTCGGCAATTACCCCGCTTCCACCATGTACAGGTAGGTCAAGTGCAGTACATTTGCTCCACGACGGCGGAGAAAGCCACTCACTTTCTCCATCCTCCCTTTGGCTTGCCTTTGATCAAAGTTTGACGTCTGGCCTTTGCCTCAATTGTATTCTTGACAGCTATGAAATGATTGCTGATGGAGAGGAGCATCGCGTTGAGCTTTTGGCCATCAAGAAAAACTTTACCATGCGGGTGGATGGAGGCAAAGCTCGCTCAATCATCAACGACGGTGAAAAGGATATGTTGAAACTTACGACGCCACTATTCATCGGAGGCCTGCCATCAAACGTGGCAGCCACAGCTTTAAATTTATGGCATCTGAGGAACAGTACATCATTCCATGGTGAGTGGATTTATTATGGAGACGGAAGAAAGATGATGATGATGGTGATCTTTATCCTCGGTTCAAGTTTTCACTGCAGATTTTGCTATTATGAAATTAATAGAACATAAACCATGAGGATATGCTTTCTTGTATTTCCAGGTTGTTTGTCAACAGTCATCATCAATCACAAGAGGGTGGACTACAGCAATGCCAAACGACAGCAAGGTATCGTTCCGGGTTGTGCAGCTATCCAGGGAGAGGAACCAGAACGACAGCCCACGCCACCAGCCGTGAAGGACGTTACTCCGACTCAGATACAATCAAGCTTTATTTCCAAAATCGTCAAAGAGGCGAGAGATGTTTGCAAAGATCATCGCTGCAAAAATGGGAGGTGTCTCCCTTCCAAGAATGGTGAGACTGGTGACACAAAAATACTTTAATTGGTCAAAACATTTTTACGAAATTCTTGGCCGCGTGGTAATAATGCCAATATTTTCTGGTTGCAGGAGGGTCATATTTTTGCAGATGTACTCCCGGATATGGGGGTCGCTTCTGTGATGAAGGTAAAAAAGCTACACTTTTTTAGGGTAGATTACTCATTTAAATTATGTATGTGACTAATTTCTAATTAATTATCCAGCTCCTACCTGCAAGAAGGAACAGTATAAGGATTACTACACAGAGCACGGTTGTCGATCCAGGAGACCTCTCAAGATCGCAGCGTGCGTGGGGAGTTGCGGAGACACATGTTGCACTCCCAAACGATCGAGACGTCGAAGAGTTAGACTTATCTGCAACGATGGGACACGTTACACAAAGGATGTTGAGATTATCCGGAAGTGAGTGAAACTTTTTATTATGAGCAAATTATGAGGAACAAATTCAAACAAATAATAATTATTTGCAGGTGTGCGTGTTCTAAAAAATGCTACTAAACTAATCGTATTACAATAGGAGTAATTTCACCAAATCAAATTTATCTACCGTACGTACTTCTTCTGACCCAGAAAAAATTTTGTATCTTTACTAAATGCGAGCTCTCAACAAATGTGTAACTTTGAGAATAATTATAAAATATCAAGTGTAAATGGAGGAGTTATTAAACATGTATATCGCGTAATAACCATTTTATTATAATGATAAACACTCGTTAAATACTACTAAACTGTAAATTACTGTTGTACAGAAAGAAAAAACAAGAATACACATTTTGGTTCAAATGTATCACATACAAGAATTTCCACGATATCAATTACTGAATAATGTTTGCTAGCTGGTTAGTTAATTGTTGTTGTTGTTATCATTATTGAAAAATAACGTTTTTAAAATCCTACTAAATACTATTACTAGATAAATAGTACTGCCGTTCTAAAAGTATAACAAATGAAAAAAACTCTAAAAAATTAATGTCCTTTACTTTATATTTTACAGTTTTATGCTGCATGCATTTATGTTTTTAATGAGAAAAATGTGGGTTAATTTTTTTATTATAGAGAAAAATGCTCGTAGTATTAATTCTGTTATTATCTGCGATTTGCAGACATCACAAATTATGAGGTGGTTAAAAATTTAGAAACACAAAAATTTGTGGTCAACCTTATCATTGACGTTGGTTATCAGATACAAATCGAGACCCGGTGAGGAGGACCTTCTCCCTCATACAAGGAATTTTTATATTCTTCCACGTAACTCAGGTTGTACAAATTCACTACAATTATAATGTGTAAACATAACAAGGCGTAAATTAATTAATTAATTAATTACTGTACTCTTAGTTTTAGTCATAACATGACTATACGCATGTGTGTTCATCATGTCAGTTGTTGTTCCCGTTTTAGTCCCATCGTCATATAATTAACTTATTACTAGCCACACACACACCAACCTTAATTGGTTTTGATTATTGTTGATTAAGTTTTACTCATTTTTTTGCTCTATGTTATAAATACTATAAACACGGCAACATATATTTAATACGTAGGTCGTAGAAAATATTATTTTCAAAATATGCATTTAACAGGTATTAATTGTTACGTAACGTATTAGTATTGTTTGGAGATTGAGAATTCTTCGTGTCACAGGAGCACATTATACTCTTCTTGCTACTACATAAATATTGCTACGCTCAGTATAATGCTTTCGTGTCACATTATATTATGGCTTCAAAATGCTGTTTTAATAAAGATCGGCGAGAAAATAAATGCGACATTACATATTTATTTGCATATCTTGGAGTAAATTTCATCCCAAAATTATGCCCAAATTGAGCATATTTACGGTTATTTCCCATATAATTTAGTAAACATTTATTACATTCTCTTTTTCTTCTTGTAAACTGATTGATTGATTTCTTCATGAAAACGGAAGTCATGAAAGCGTTTCATAGACAAAGAAGACAATTGTCTTCTTTGTCCTTTAAAGGCGGAAGGTCCACTTTGTGTGAAACTCTGACACCAGATGCTCCTCGGGTCGTATTTTAAATCATGTTGCCTGTATTATCGCAGAAGTGGATAATCGCATATTCACATATATTGCATCTCAAATTTCATTCTTCCTCACGATATGATATTTTTCATATATAATATCAAAAATGTAACAATACCATCAATATGTGGCGTTTTTATCGACCAAATACTGAATGTCCACCTTAAAAATTAAACCATTTGTTCTATGCTCATCAATGCATATGCATACCTATGAACATATACGGGCCACATTATTATTTAAAAATTTCCCTGCTGGCTGCAGCAGCAACGTAAGCAATCAGTAGAACCTATTTTTTGTCTTGTTCTTTTTCTATTCTACGATAACCGTCATAATGCGTTTACTGCATTGACTCTGACTCTTAATTTAGTTGAGCTCTATGATCACATCACAAAGGAGGATAAAACTCTTCTCGCTGTGACGCAACAATGGGTGCCATAAATATTGAGCAGTGCTGTGTGTTGTACAAACATATTAAACAAACATGATCACATCCAAATTATGTACCTTTTGCCTCGAGTTGAATGGAGAACGGTTTAAAAATGTTTGTGATCCCGCATGGGTGCTTATTCAACCCAATTCATAGTCTGGGCCCAAAGGATGGATGGAAGGAATGACTTAACAATAATTTTTGCCATTTGTCAGGCTATGAAAGCCAAACGTAGACGAAATAGGATTCATTAATCCGAGATATGTAGTTCGTAGAGCTGGGAACATTGTACCGTGACTGTAATCCGTTTACACATCTGATCCCCTTTCACAGTGCATAATCTGTTTACTCAATTAACTTATACTAACTGCCTTGGAAAATCCTGTAATTCGTTAATCTTTGAGAGTCTGCAAATTATGATTGCGTGTGCTTAAATTTCTTCCACTCCATAGTCACCTCTCGCATATTACACGTTACGAGTGACATGCAGGCTGCAACATGAGGAGTAAATTGCGAGATTGACTGATGGATGTTTATTTCACTCTGTTTATTAATAGAATGTAATGTCATTAACCATTCTATTTATTGGGGAAGAAGCAACGCAGTCGGTTTTGTACGGATAAATCTGTTCCTTATTTGTGCTGACTGCATGCAACTATTGCACAATGCGAGTAGTAAATAAACATGTATGAGGCAATTAAAACGACCAGCAGATGAGCAGAATGTCCAAAAATTAATGTGTATGCGCAAATAATTGAAACCCTCTGTCTCTCTTAATGACTCCCATTTGTGTTAAGGCATCGTTTCCCATTGCTGACGGTTTAGATAAATTAAGTTCTTAAATATCTTATTTTGCACATTTACGAATAAATTTGTATTGATTCTTATTCTGAATTTTTGCCAATTTTTATCAAACTTTGTTAAACAATTTGACTAAATTTGTTAAGCTAGAAACAGTACATATTTATGTTAATAAACTGCGAGAAAGCCCTTGAAACTAGGATTATTTAAAACTTATTAAAAAATGGGGCACAAAATTAGGTCAAATATTTCATGTCGCTTTATAGCATGTAAAAATTATGCCAATTTCTTCTCGTAGTTGGAAGTAAAAGTGCGGAAAATTGGGAAAATGGCATTATTTACTGAAAGATTTAGCACGCGGTGGTGATTTGCATGGATGTTGACGTAGAAGAAGAAGAAGAAGATCTCCCATCTTGACATTCCAGGTTGGCAGATCATTACGAGTGAAAGTGGAAGAAAGTATTAGTAGTAGTGAAGTGAGTGAGAGATTGGGTTTCCTGCACCCAAGAGACACCGCGACGAAAGTGGAGAATTGCTTTCCACACTATTACTCACACACTTATTAATTTTCATCGAATCGATGGTCTGCCTCGACAGAGAAACGAGCAGCAAGTTCAATTCCCAATTGGAAACGGAGGTTTTGACGAGAAAACATTTAGTGTCGTGTTAGTCGTGTCTACCCACCGCAGAGTCAATCAGGGACGACATTTTGGTGTAATTTTAGAAGGGATTTGGACCAACAAAGCTATGAAATCCTCTTTAAATTAGCTGTGACAAGAGAAAATTGATTGAAATATAGCAGCCCAAATCTGCCTCCACTCTGTCCAAAGTTGTCGAGACGAGACTTTGTGCTGCTGGATAAGCGAACATAATGCAACCACCACCATACTATTCCCATCAACTTCTAAATTGGTCATGTTGGATAATGTACTCGTCTCATGATGTCCTCGTACGTACGCAGGTTATTGGTCGCGTCCTTTTTCCTACTTCAAACTACAATAAGTGAGGCGTGGATGTCGCCATTTTAATTACGACTTAAATATTTTTATATGATTATAGTTCGGAATTTCTGATTCGTGACGAATATTTTTGATACCTTGTAGTCTTTGATGGGCAAACAAGTCGGCTTACGTATATGTACCTAGAATAATCCGATTCTGTCTGGAAACTGCAATAGGAACGGAACCTTTTCTGGTTTGGTTTGCTGTTGATGCTGAATCCAATATGAGCGAGGAGGAGAAAAGATAGCGAATTTCGATACGTTTCGATTGATTGAGTTCAAGACATGAAAGATTCAGTCCTTTTTTCATGTCCACACACACACACGTTTGGTTCCTGCTATATGCAGAGAGAGAGAGAGAGACCGGCTTTGTGGTGGTAAGTTGGAAACATTAGCATAGAAATTGCGTTGTGTCAAGAGAAAAGAGATAGTGTAGCAGACAAGGAATATTATTTTCCCTCGTGGAATCCAATACAATCCAAATATTTTTTTAGGATTGAACTCATGCCCACCAACAGAACACGACTCGATGAGGCTGATGGTCGCTACATATATAAATGATATCATAGAGTAGAGGAGAAAATAACACAATAAGGCAAATAGCACCAGACAACAACACTCAACCAGCAGCACACGGGCATGGCGCGTATGATATGTGCGCTGGTTGCGGTCGGTGGGTGGGTGGTTTGCAAGGCGAAGAAGGAAAATGAGCAACTTCTGGCGTTGTCCACTTAAGTGAAGAATAAACAAGGCTTTAGTGGCAGTCGGACTTTCACCACCACCGGAAACTCTTGAGGGCCAGTTCTCAAACTCAAATGAGGATACGATTGCCTTGGTTGTGTTGCCTAAAACCGTACAACATGGACCCACATGAATCAGGGCTTTCTCCGACTCATCCGCCGTAAAGAAGCAGCAAAGGTCCAATTAAAGTATCATTAAGCTGACCCTTCTGTCTCCAGAGTATGCACACAAATTGGACAGGATGAGGCAGCAGCAGCAGCAGCCTACTGACCATCATGAGCACGCCAGCATCAAATAATGGCACGATGTTATGTAATGTGATGGAATCCAGACAAAGTAGGAGGAGGAGGAGGAGGCGGATGATGAGAGGAACCTTTGATTGAAGAATGTTGCACCAGGATGATGAGGAGATGAGAATGGGCAAGATTTGAAGAGGAGGCTGCTGCTGCTACAAAAGTGGAGATGTATGATTTCATGATGCCAAAGAGGAGAATACTTCCTCATGATGGCCCATCCAGTGCCTCATTATATTTGGCAGAAGAGAATGGAGTGGTCTGAGGCAGATGCTGCTGCTGCTGCCTCTTCTCCTTCCACCAACTTATTCTCTGAACTATCAATAAAGATGAAAATCAGACGGGAAAATATTTGGTGGCTCATCCGCTATACGTGCATACATTCCCTGGCTCGCAAGTGGGCTCGGAATGTCAGAAGATTGAAAGTGATCCGGAATTTTTCCGTGGAGCTAAAGATGTTTGAAGAGTGTGGTTTATGGTCATATTTAGAATTTCGATACGACCACAAGTACCAGGACCAGCAGCGCAAATACTTTTCATACCAGAGCAGCTTTGTTTCGCCACATGACGGGAGTGAAAGCGATAAAAGCGAGAGACATGAAGTATGTAAATTTGCGACATGATGAGGCCAAGATACTCGTCTCGGTTGAATGAGCCTCCTATTTTGAGAATACACACCAACAACAGGATGACTCGACTTCCATGGAGGAAAATATTTCTTGCGACGCATGAGGAATGATGGCAAGAATGCAATCTGCTTTTCACCAACGGCAACCGTGTGGTGTGGACGACTGGAGGAAGAGAGGAAGCCAATGATGCAGGTGGTGGTGGTTGTGATGCATGGATGGAGACGGAGGGTCTAGTGTGTTGGGTGATAGCACAAGAGATTTATTTGAAGGAATGATATGATAGTCAGATTTGTAGTCCATGCACCTCCATCCACCCATCCACCCATTCTGCGTATATGTGGTCAGGCAGGGAGGAAATCTGACCCTTGGACATCAATATTCCTACAGAAAGGAGGAGAGGTGACGGTACGGGTGCGGTGTATTGCTTGGAAAGTGAGAGCCACCGATATCTTCACCCCATATCCATAAGTTTCAATTTATGCGATGGGACGAGTTGTATTGGCCAGCGAACGGCAACAGACTACTAGTTTACTCATTTCCATATTTTTCTCCCATAAGAGGATGGTGGGATTTATTTATGGGGCGGACCTGAGTCCGAGTCCGGAGTCACATCTGATGGAAATGTGGTGAAATCCTGCTGGATGGCCCCGTTGGTAGGGTTGATATAAGATGAGACGACGGCTTCTTGGCTCATCTGGACTTTGTCGTGTTAGAGGTCGTCGATTTCCAGGGGCGAAAAGACAGTGGAAAAGACGTCCCGAGAGGAGCACACGGTCGTCCAAGCCAGTAGTCATGATCAATGGCCACCACCACCCCTTCATGC